CAGCTTCTCGAACCAGTCTAAACCCAAGAGGTCAAGGTTTGAATTATTGATGTAGCATGTGCCGACGAAATGACTATCGCGAAAATCAACGCTGCATTTAATTTCTCCATTCAATCGAAGTCTTCCACCACATGCACTAATTGCTATCTGATTAGTCTTCTCTATGGCAGGGCATCCCAACTTCTGCCATAATTTCTTTGATATTATTGTAATATCAGATGCTGTGTCGATTTGTAGGCGTGCCGGCCGTGTATTAATCGTCAGATCGATATATTTGCGAGGTGCTGGAGTACTAATATGATATGTGGCAGTAACACCCAAAGACTTAGGCTTGTTGCGCCGTTTGGGTCGACTACGAGATCTGGGTCGGTTGTTGCGTTTGCAGTAGCCATTTTTGTGACCAACAGTATGGCATCGACGGCATTTATGTTGTTTGAATGGGCACACGTTTGCGAAATGCCAGGAGCCACAGTGCCAGCAGGCTGATGGTGGTTTATGCTGAGGATGACGCGGTGCGGTTGATGTCGACGGTACCGGATGCACCGCATGCACTTCTGCTGCATTTTGGCCGCCAGACTGCACCAAGACGGTATCGTTATGAATGTTGATTAAACGCTGATATTCTTCACCGACGTCTTTCAAAGTCATTCGTGGATCTTGTTCCAGACGATTTAATAGACGTGTGCGTATATCAGCAAATTTGGGAGACTGCAAACCACAAATGAAAATCAATACCTTGAACTGGTCTTCTGAGAGTGATTTCAATTTAAAACGTTCACACGTGCGATTGACTATACCCAGCTGAGTATGGATATCATCATTTTCGTTCAGAGATAGTTTCATGCAATGATATCGAATGTTGAATAACGATCTCTGATCACCAAACTGATGACGAAGGGTATGGACAGTTTCATCGAATGATCTTTCATTGGGCTTCTGTGGGAGAATTAAGTTGCAGTATTTATCTAGCTCATCTGCTCCCAATTTACGAAGAAGAAGCCGTACTTTCCAGGCATCATCTTTGTCCGCAAAGTCTACTCGAAATAGGTCTTCATATCTGCGAAACCAGGTATCAAATGTTACGTTCGCATCTGGATCATAAACGAATTCTGAGATGCTGCTACCAATGCTGTCGTTGGCTGTGGATGAACCGGCAGGGCGTGATATCTGTAGACCAACAAGCATTTCCATCAATTTTAGCTGCTGTTCCATTAGTTTCTCTAAACGCAGTGGGTCCATCTTCAGCAAACCCGTCGCCAAATTTGTTATGTATGTGAATATGAGGACCTTGTAGACTACGAGCGAATCTAACTAATGCGCTGGCTAATCTGTCTTAATCGCACGTTAACAACAACTATAATACCGCCGGACACGCAAGACAAATAAAAGAGAAGACTGGACGTTGATATGAGAGCTTTTACTGTCTCTACAACAGTCCAAATGTTAAACAACAACTCCGTATTTATACAATTAGAAAAATCAATGTCACATTTTAAAAATATTAACAACCTTGGGAATTCAGTAATTTAGATCAATAATCACGCAGATGCGTGAAATCAATGATTATGCTAGTGTGTGAAATAAATACTGAATATTAATGATTCACCTGCGTATATATTAGGATTGCACCCAGTGGCACTGCTCTTGCTGAGTTTCGAGTCGCTTTTACTTGCCGATTTTTTTCCAACACTATACAGGTGACTTGCTGTGCTTCAGTGTCCGTCGACACTTTAGCACTGATACCAGGTGTAGTTCTCGGTGTGGTCAACTTTCTATCGAAGGAGTTCTTGGTTGCTTGCCTTTGGTTAGTTGTTTTATCCGAGACTACTTTAATAGTCTTGAATTTAGTGGCAGTAGCCAGGAGATCTTCGGCCTTCTGAAATCGTTCAGCTATTATGTAGCTGTTGAACCTAAAGAGTATAGGACAGGGATGCTTTAGGTCTTTTTTACTTAGGCGAATGCACTGACAAGGTGCACTCAAGAGATTTGCAGCCTTCAACAATGAGTGCTGGACCGACTTAATGGGCTCGCTATCTGGTACATTATACACTATAGAGTTTTGTTTCGAAGCCAGCCTTTTAACAACTTCTCTGGATAGAAAGTCAATGGCGTTTTCTAACTCCTTCGCATTTTCTGAGTCAGTAGGCGTCATTCTAGAGGTCATATTAAAAAGCTTTAGGATTGTAGGATCCTGCAGTTCCTTTTTCATAAGTGAGATTGTTTCGGGTATACATTCAAATGAACTTAATTTCGTTTTTAATTCATCAATCTGTAGCTGCATCTCTTTAATAATGCATGTTAAGTAAGAGAGCTCTACTTTTTCAGACAGAACATCTTCCACCTGTATTACAGGGGTCAGAGTTATGTTCCAGTCTTTTATGTTGGGTGAACTACTAATAATAAGGGATGGTAATGTGTTATTAGACGAGCTGGTACTATTTTCTAAATTACTGGTGTTCACACGAACACTCTTTTTAGAATTTCGGCCCATTGTTATTAAAGATCAATCAACAGTAAACAATAAATGAATATAAACGAAAACACGTGCAAAAGCGTCACCTGGTTCGAACGTACCGGGCTTCAAAATCTCTATAGGGTACGGTTGTGCACCAAACACAAAAGGGTGCGAAATTAAAACAACCGGCTTGTGGATAATTGTATTAAACCAAAAGTGGACAACATGATAGTAAAACCTATAGGGTAGCATTATACATTGCAAAGGAACTTTGTCAGCCTAGGGATTATAGTCTCCCATTGTATTTCCTTTATGAATGCATATGTTAATGATACATTGCATTTACCTATTTCATTACACTTTAATGATTCACCTTAGCATCTTTACTTTTCTAAAACAGCTTACTATCCCTTGTAAACGTTGTACTTACCTCAATATTGGTTGGTTATCGTATGCCTACAACTACGGGTTGAAAACGAAATGAAGTCGATTTTCCTGCGCAACCTGGAGGACTGCTGTTTAATTCAATGATAATACGACATGGGTCAGACAAAGAGTGTATTTATACATATATCAAATATTTAGCTGTTCAAACATTGCTAGCTTGTAGACAATCTACTATTTGACATTGTATCATACTTGATCGTGCCTGTAAAAATGGCATGCATTTTCATGTAAATTTATGTTTATATGAAAATATAAATTATTATCATTAATAACTGTTTCATTTGTCGTAACAGTTGAGTGGGTTTTCTGTCACCGAGCTGAACATCTCGAAAAAGTTCCTGCACTTTCTGTCGGTCAGTAAGTGCAACGCGCTTAATTAGTGCCTGCTTGAGACGCTCATACAGGTCGGGGGACGGGTCCTCGAGAACGTCAGACACCTCCTCCATGACATTCTCTGGAAGACTCACACTTACCAGGTTAACCTTGGTTTCTTGTGAATGTATGTGTCTGAGGGCGAACAGAGTTCCTACATGACCTAACCATGCAGGAGGACGATGTGTCCAGAAAGTGGGGAGTTGCAAGGTGATAGCCATCTGTGAAGGAGAACTGTTGTCGGCCATAATGGGAACAAGACGATATATTAACAGAGTGATAACGACAAATATAAGTAAAAACAAGGCGAGTAAAATTTTATAACTCTATGTGAAGAATAGACAAATAGTCAATATATGGAGGCAAACTTTGAAAACACGGGCTCACCACTTGTAAAAGTTAGGCTTAGCTTAATGTAGACCTAAAACAATCACCCCTACAAAACTTATTCACCGCTTTCTGACTTTAGCTGTACTCTGCCCAACGTGCAAGTACTAACAAACTGAATCAAGGTAAAAGGACTCGAAATGGCAAGTGTGCCTGGAACAGAGTTATATTTTACACAAATGAGATATGAAATTTGATAAAAATAAGGGGTTATACAATTACCTGCTACCTTGACTGTAGTAGGCTCGGAGAGTGTACTGAATGAAAGGACAACGAGAGTGCGAACCAAAAATGTACAGGAGAGTCACGAATCGAAAGATGAAGGAGTGCCAAAAAGTGTGTGAGTGCATTCAAATGAAAGTTCAAATGCTCAGTGTAAACTACAAGCTTTTCTACTGTCAGTATTATTAGACCAAGGTCTATTTCAAAAATAGATTTTGGGTCTTCGTTTCTCGATTATTTCAATTCATGTAAAACGATACCTCTGACAGAGAGATCACTATTACACGACTGGCTTTTATTCTTCGGGACGACGATTTCTACTCACCTTCCATGGGTGATACATCTTGCGCAATAGTTTCGTTTCGTGCATTTGCAAGATATTAGTTTACATCATTCATTGGCAATCTCTTTCCATATGATTTTGGCGGTAACTATCTACTGTCCACTTGAGCAGAGTTGATGGCTTGTGGAACTAGTTTCACTGTAGGTCGACGACCCACTCATACACCTCCTTTTGAGGTCAGGTGGGTTACAGACATGGTCCCCTGTTAAAGTCTCACCAAAGCACTATCAGTGTCTCAGCACTGCTTACTGACCCCATATGATAAGGGGCCTTTTAAATCAGGAAGCTTCAGTACTACCATAAGCAACACGATAGCCTCCTTCACAAGGTATTCTTATGAGCAACAAGAAACTTCGCACAGCTAGCATAAAAGAGGTTTGGCTGCATACTTCCGAGATCATGCTAGTGCAAACTTTGTGAGACAACCGATAGTATTTATCACATTGCCTCCTACAGTGGCTGTTTATGATAATCATTTTACCCGGAGTATGGAAATATGGTAGCCACAGTCTGAAACAAAATTGGTATACCTTAATGCAGAGAGAGTTTTGTTCGAAAAAACAACAAACCTAGGAACCCTAACTGTTGAAAACGAGCTACCTGCAAAACAGCAACTTTGTGGAGAATAGCATAGGTGAGATTTTGCATCTAAGTCTTCATGGTATGCACCAAAAAAGCTGGATTTAAAGGAGAATGTGCAGAAATTCGCCAGCTTTTTAAAGTTTGCGCCTCGCAGCTTCAAGCTAAGACCTTATTAAATTTATTACAAATTTGGGAACCGCTTGTTTTAACAACTAGTTTGAATGTGACAATAGTCCGTGGATCTGAATTCGCTGCAAGACAAGGTCATCTGTGGACGATCGGCCTCTTCTCGCTGCTTTGATTGCTGCTTCTAGATCCAATGCCTTTTAGCTGCAGATCTTATGGATCGTAAGTCTGTCATCTTTTCTTGATTACTCATGCAGCCAAGACTCGTGAATCTAGAACGAATTTCCGAGTTGGCTGTAAAAAATGCGGGTTTAGTAAGAATTAGAATACTGTTTAACAGCCGAAACAGCTGGACATCTGACATTTCAGTGTCGCAACTACCTGCGTGGAGGGGTATCAGGAGATGTTGTCTTAGATGTCAGTAGCACCAGTTCTCAGTCTGATGAAAGCGAAATCATCGCAGCAGCATTAGAACTGCGACGAGCAGCACTGGGTAAGTCTGTTGACCTGAATACATGTTTTAAAACATGAATTCATGGCAGTTTATTTGAAACATACTCTTGAATATGCTTAATTTTTCATGAAATATGAGCTTCCAGTTGGCAGATACACAGGCACTTATAGGAGTATGTTGCGAGTAAAACCTAGGACTGGTCAAGTTTTAGATCCCAGTTCTCTAGGAAACTCTCGTGTTTGCTATTTCACTACGGTGTTTCACTTCACTTTGTTGACCTCCTGTACATCTAATGTGTAACATTTTTGCTCATTTAAGGGAAAAAGTTCTCTGATACTTGATTGTTGGAGGCAGTCTGCAACGAGCCCTGGACATAAGTGCTGTGCTTTCTGACGAGTGCCAACAAGCACGAAACCTAGTTTGAAGACTTCTTACCGATTACTTCTAACTATCTAACATCAATTCAGAGTACATTTCAATGGCGAGGCACTTTTACCTTGTTTATCGCATTACAAACTTGACTGACAATTTAGTCTGCACCAACCACGAGGACTTGACTGATTAGTCCTTTGTTACCAGTCACTCTAGTATTTGATACAGTCATGAAATTACTCAGTGTGAAACACATTTATATATTTACTAAGTAAAATACATTTATTTAGGTTGAATCTTTCCTATACATTTTTCTCTGTTTGTATAAGAAAAAGAGGGTAAGTGTAATTATTTTGAGGACTTTTCGTGCATGTTGTAATGAAATCTGTGGCCTACGTCAAAATTATTCACATTTGAATTAGCCAAGTTGACGTTATACGATAACAACTGACGTGAAAGTACCATGAGCCAACGAGTAAACTTCATTGGTTAGGTCGGAATTCTGGACAGTAGCGTCAACTGCTTATTATTATTTGTTCCTTGGGTTCCTGGTGGAATATAGGTCTTCAGCAGCATATCGCCACCTCACTCTGTTCTCTTCAGTCATTTTTATCTGGCTTCACATTTGCCCACAAACTTCCTTACTCTCCCCACACGATCTAGTCTATATCACGCTGAGAGACGCCCAATCAGATTCCCTTCCCTTGAGGTTCTGGGGTGTAATGTCATTCAACAGTGTCCTTAGTGTACATCCTTTCCTTCTCCGTTTCCTTCTGCATATTTGTTAGAAGATAGGTTCTTGGTTGTTTTTTTTTCAAAAGAATGGATGCTGAACAAAGAATACTCTTTTCGATACCCTGCTCTTCATCAGGCTCTACAGTTATATATACATTATAGTGAATGAATGAATTTGTGTGATGAACAACATTAACGTTGTTTAAATAACATCAAATCAACAATATCAATAGATTACAGTTCATTAGAATCGATATAGAATAAACAATGTCAGAAAAATTAGGAAAGATAATATTGCAAATTCATGAATTTATAGTCTCTACTAAAGGCCGGCCAAGGCAGTAGTAGGAGCTGGACTTGCTTCTTTTGAACACAAAGCACTGGTTGTTTCATGCGAATTGCAATAGCCTCTGCTATTTGGAGCATGCAGTGCTCCGATGATTTTGGCAATTTATTAGGCACCCGGTAGATGATTGAGAGGGATTATTCCACGCTGGCTTTGTGGCCGGTTTGTACCGGATGATCCAATATCGAACTGTTTATGGTTTTCATTACACCTTTCCTTAGCCACAGTGGGAGATGTTCCCGAGCAAGAACGAAAAATCAAGTTCCTAGAGCAACGGCCGATATAACTCGCTAGAGTTCCTTTTTGCTTATCCTTTCTAACTGGTCATCTGATCTCCAATATGGAGCCGGCGAAATCAGATGTTGGTGAAAGTCTGCAGCAGCGGGTTGGAAGTGCTTTCCTTGACGCATCATTTTAGTTCATGACATAAAGATTTCGAATCACGATGTTTAGATTCTAACTCGATATGCATAAGACTAATGTAACATGTATTCGATAATAAAGCGTCATAATTGTGTGCGTCGGTAGCACAGTGGTTAGGACTCCCGCCGACTATGCACATGGTCCGGGGTTCGATTACCTGCCGACGCACACCCGATATCTACGGTCGGCCTGTAAAATTTGGGCTACCGATATCCATGCTGAAAATTCCATACTTCTACCAAAAGTACTGTGTGGAATCAAGCTGTAAAACGAAAAAAAAAATTAAGACATTCAGGTTAACAGGAATCAACAGTGATGTCCATATTCATCATGTCAGCGATCATTTTGTCTTTCGTCAGTTTATCTAAACCATCTCTTAGGATACATTCAGTTTAACTGATTCAATTGTATGACTTAATTGAGTTCACACTTATAGTTATCAAACAGGCCAGTTAGTCTTAATTAACTAAATCAATCTGCTAATGCCAAGCTTATTTCATCGACCAACTGATGTTTTCAACTGGGCTTGTTCATCACAGTCTTTTTGTGTTTCATAAATATTGTTTTACTAATTTGAAATGGAATTTCAACCTTATCAACTAATTTTCTTTGTAAATTTTCATTATATTTAGATAGATGTTGTATAGATTTTTGGAAAGTATAATTGCGTTACTTTTCAGTCATGATCCATAATCTCTGTTCTTAATTGCATGACATTCCAAGCTGTGTAATCCATTCTATCTAAATTATTACTGAATTGTTAATTTAAGTAATCTGGCACAAGTTTACGTATTAGACTGTGGGGTAATCTCAGGGTGAATGGGCTTCTGATTCTCGTTGATTGTTCACCTGACTGACTAGTTTCAGCATAGAAGTTTGCAGTTTCAGATGCCACTCCGTGTAGCTCACAAAGCAAGAGAATGGAGTAAAGACAGATTCAAGAAAAAAGAAGTGTGAGGGGAAAAGAATAGTAATAGTTCTTTCTCATATGACAGCCACAAAGAGTGAATGCGTCTGCACCACCATTGACAACAAGGATTTTCAACCATATCGCCAATTGTCTCCAGCCATTGGTTTTTACCATCCCGAGGACCTCAACCAGTCAGGAAGTCTACACCTCCCTACGTAACCTCCTGAAAATAACCGCTATAGACTTCAGTGGCTGATGAAGCCATGTTTTGGTTTGACCACCACTAGCTCTTTCGCGACCCTATCCTATGTTAGCTGACATTGGCTGTTGTCGAGGAAGGTGATCGCTAGGAATACATAACACAACACATGTCCTAAGCAGCTCAATCGATGTAAGTTCATGACGTTACCGATTGATTTTCCCTATGTAACATGATGGCACCTATGTTAGCTAACATTGCCTGCTATCGCGGAAGGCGATGGCTAGGGATGCATATCCTAACCATCTCACTCGATGTAACTTCACAGCCTCTTTGATTGATTTCCCCTCCCAGTTACCTAGCACTCGACGCCTAGCCGTAATATTGCTCACCCTATTATACTACTTTACACGGGAGATATAACGCAGGTACCTATGATCAAAGACAGCTAGTCAGGCTTCTCATGTCTTCCACTCTCAATGGCCAGGTCTCACAGCCATAAAGAAGGAGGACAAGCGAACTGGTGAGGAATACACAGGTCCTTCTGTCGACAGCTGGATATTACGCCTACTAAGCCAGAGATGGCACAAGTCGGCTGACAAAATGCCAAACGAGCCTTCTGCATCCGTACTGAGATTTCGTTAGCGACCAACTCGTTGGTGCTTGTTGATGCAACTCCCCAAATAAGTGAAGTGGTCAACACGCTCTACCACTTCACTCCTGCCTTTCTTTAAGCTAGGACTGATTCAATGTAGTCCGGTCCTGCAGCATCATCTCACATTTGACAGGAGCAAATTGCTTGCAAACATTTGAAGATTGCTGCTTAACTCAAGGTGTACAGAAGACTCTGAATTCTATCATTCAGCGTTTTCACCTGGGAGGACTACATCACCTGTATAATCTAAGTCAGTGAGATTATTCCCTGGTGGTAACAAGTCAATCCCTGAGTCGCTGAAATCAGTTAGGGTTAAGTCCATTAGTACAGTATCTATGATGAAATTGAACAGAAATGTGGCATACTGGGCATCCGTGACGGACATCACTGGTTGACACCACTTCAAGTGATAACTCTATATTAAAATATAAACTAATCACGGTGATTTGGCGTGCTACTAGACAGTTTGGCGAACGCGTTACTACTGAGCATCTCCTCATCTCATCCAATGTGTACTGTAGATATGATGGCGAAGATTTTTAGCTCAGGTGGATTATTTTGATGTAGTTGTGTTCTCTGAGTTGGATAGTTTATTTGCAAAGCTTTCATCGCCCTATTAGGCAACATCCCCACCTCAGCGCATACTTCAATTTGTTGAAGTCAACTTTTAGATTTCTCCACAAGTTTATTAGTCATCTCTCCTGGTCACCTGACCTTCAACGTGGTTGGTTGTTTTTGTGTATTTTTCCACCCTCTAGACCACTTGTATGGGTACTGATTGTTTCCTTGACCTGAACCTCCACCTTTTGTATGTGAGATTTTCTTCTTATCGGTTAGTAGATTTTGTCTATGTCTATGTGTCTATTGATTGATGATTCACTGGAATACCAGGCTTCTAAACATTCTCTAGCATTCTTGGTGTTTCTTCTGTCTAATATTTGAACGTTGGCTGTCTCAGTCGAATTTATGTCCGTGGTTGTCTGTATGCAGTGATATGAGGGAGTGGATGTCATACCTTTTGACGGCTAGCTTATGTTCCTAGATACGAAGACGAAGGGGGCGTCCACTTTGGCCAATGTAGTGTTTTTCGCAGTTGTTACAATTCATTTTGTAGATGATGTTGGTTTTATCTTCTTTCGCTGTTGAATCTTTTGGCTGACACAGTTGAGTGCAGTAATCTTGTTGGTTTGTGTGCAACATCAATTCCTAAAGGTTTGAAGAGTCTTGCAGTGATTTCTGAGATATCTTTTATATACGGTAGGGCAACTTGCTTTGTGCTTTCCTTGAGGGTCTTCGATTTGGTAGGCTGGCTTGAGAGTAGATGTCTTTTGATGAAGTTCCATGAATATCTATTCTTTTGAAAGACGTCCATGAGATATCGACATAGACAAAATTTACCAATCAATAAGAAGAAAATCTCAGACACAAAGGGTCAAAGTCCAGGTCACAGATAGTAATCAGGTACCCATGCAAGTAGCCTAGAGAGTGTGAAAATACATAAAGACAACCAATCACCCTCAAAGTCAGGTGACCAGGAGAGATGACTAATAAACTTGTGGAGAAATCTAAAAGTTGACTTCAACAGATTGAAGTATGCGGTGAGGTGGGGATGTTGCCCAGTAAGGCAATGAAAGCTTCTCAAATATAGCATCCATCTGGGAGAACACGACTACATCAGAATGTGTACTGTTTTTAGAATAAAGCCATTATTATTATTGTTATTATTACTACTACTCAAGGGTGTATAACTTTTGTTTATTTCATTTAGCTGCAAAAAAGAAAGTGAAAAAGTCTAAAGAGAAGAAGAAAAAACGTGTCTCTAAAAAACGGTAAGTATTCACTTATTCCATTATCATCATATCATCTCTATCTATCTATGCATTTCTTTATTTCCTTTTTTTTCTTCAATAGAAAGCATTCAGAGACAGAATCTTCAGATGATGATACGGAAGAAGAGAAGGCAACTACTAGCAGTCGATCTGATTCATCGGCTTCCTATTCTTCTACATCAGACCGCCATCATCATCATCAACATCACCGTCATCGGCATCATAGAAAAAAGCATAAGTTGAAGAAATCACATAAACACTCGAAAAGAAAGCATAAACATCATAAAAGTACTGATGAATAATAAAGGGAAGACTTTGTACGCCTACTTCTTACTGTATACTGGTGTTATTTATTGATCTGTTCTTGTTTTCTTGTATTTTTGTATAGACACTTTGTGATGCAATAAATTCTTTTATTATTGTATTTCTCTGTATCATACAAATAGGTTTCCGATTAAATACATGTATAAATATTTTTCGCTAAACTTGTAATGTCTCTTCCATATTAATTTGTTTATCAGAGTCTTCTGAACACCTTGAGCTGCAATCTATGAATGTGTGGCATGCGATTCGTTCCCGCCAAATGTAAGATGATGTTACAAGACTGGACTACACTGACTCCTAGTGAAGCGGTAGAGCACGTTGACCACTTCACTTATTTAGGAAGTACCATCAGCCAACGCCAACGGGTTGATCGCTGACGAAATCTCAGCACGGATACAGAGGGCTAGTTTGGCATATGCCAGTTTACGCCGTCTCTGGCGTAGACGTGATATCCGGCTGGCTATCGAGCAAAGGGCGGGCGTACTGCTCAGTAGTCCGCTCTGTCCTCCTTTATGTCTGTGAGACCTGGCCATTGAGAGTGGAAGACATGAAAAGATTAGCTGTCTTCGATCATAGGTGTCTGCGTTCTATCTCCAGTGTGAAGTGGTATAATAAGGTGAGCAATATTGAGGTTAGGCTTCGAGTGCTAGGCTAGGAAGGGAAATCAATCGACGAGGCTGTGAAATTACATCGATTGAGATGGTTAGGACATGTGTTACGTATGCCTAGTCATCGCCTTCCTCGACGGGCAACGTCAGCTGATATAGGGCCAGGCTGGAAAAGAGCTAGCGGCGGTCAAACCAAAACATGGAACCAGTAAATGAAATCTACAACAGTTAGTCTAAGCCAGTCATGTAGGAACGTGTAGACTTCCTGACTGGTTGGGGTCCTCGGGACAGTAAAAACCAATGGTTGGAAACAATTGGTGACATGGCTCAAAATCGTTCTCAGTGGCGCAGATGCATCCACTCCTTGTGACTTATGATTTCCAATTAAACTGTTTTGTTCTTCGTTATTACTATACCTTTGTCTTACACCTCTGTTTACTGTCTATATTATGCATTTCTCCTACTTTCTTTTCTTGCTTTGTGTGCTACATGTGGGGAATGTGGCGACTTGAACTGTCGCACATATGTGCAAAGTTCTATGTCGAAAACCAACCGATCTGATATATCGATTAGAGAACCAATGGAAAACCAACGGGGAGTACTGGACAACTGTTTCGTCCCACTGGTATGGGACTCTTCATCAGCATGTCTGCAGACCAACACTTGAATTGTATATCAATCTGATGCTCACTAGCGACTGGTTGCATAGTTATCTGGGTTTTAGTGGGAATTCGTGACCAGTGTGGAGTACAGCAAGTCGGGTGTGAGGATAAATACCTACCATCGATGACATTGGCTAGTAGTGGCTGCGCCATATCGCGAATTGGCAAAAGTTGGAATTCATGAACTGGCTATTGGATCGGGTCCCAGCGCTCTTATTGTAACCGGAAGGTTGCGGGTTCGAACCCTGGTAGTGGTTGCGTACCGATGAGGTGTCACAAACTGGTGGGACGAAATAGCAATCCAATGCTCCCTGTTGGTTTTCCAATGGTTCTCTGAACGACGCCAGTTCATGATGAAATCCTGAAACCAATCAAATTCCTGCAAACCAACACAAATTATTGCGGTTCTTAATCATATCAATTATATAACTACAGAACTTCGAAACTTTCGCTTCATAGTTTTCTTTACTCCTACCTATTCGTTGTACGGGTAGTGGAATTTTCCACATGTCCAGCTGGATAGGTGGTGATTCATGCGTATCGCACGTGTTTGCAGTTGATTCGATAAATACAGCTTCCATTATCAATCTCTGTCTCCACCCTACTGTTATATTAGATTTCAGAACTGTCATCTTATCCCATCATCCTACTGTATGGTTGTGTGTGTGTGTGATTGCATGCAGTGCTGTAATAGCTGAACTATCCTCTAGATTTCTTATCTTATTAAGGTCAACTAATCTAGATTTTGCTAGGTTTTTGTTCTCCATTAGTCTGACTGACCCAGTTCTACTATTTTGACGTCTGAATTTAACCCGACGATCATTGCAGCAGGGTATTAGATATGTTAAACTGTTTTGTTTAAATGGTTCCGCTGACAGGATGCTTTAACTGACAAAGCTTGTTTCTAATTGAGTTCGTGGGTAACTGAATGCCACTTTTATCTCTGCATTGTTGAGAATTCTCCGTGAGGTTTCCGAGGTCCGTTCTTTATATGGAAGTATTATTATTATTCTCTTAAGTTCCGATTGGGACATAGGGTCTCAAAGACACATCTCCACTTTGTTCTATTCGGTGCTGTCCTCTTCAGCTGGGTCAATGATTAACCATAATCTTTCTTTTCCTTGCACGACTGCCTGCATATCACCCTAGCACTGACGACCCACTCGTCGCTTCCCATTCGGGTTTTATTCGAGTGATGACCTGCATTGCGCACGGTGTCATTCGATAGCCTCCCTAGTGGCGTATACCCAATCCATCTCCATTTCTTTCTGCATATTTGTTGAGCAATCGGCATTTGGCCGGTTTAATGCCAGCCAGAGTTTCTTGTTGCTAATTCTTTCTCGCTAGTCGGCCATTTGGTCTTCAGTATGGAGCCAGCGAAATGGGCAGCTGTTGATAAAAGTCCGTAACTTGTTGGTGATGCTTTTCGTGATGTGATGAACCATATATAAGAGCTGGCTGACCTAACATTGAAGTTGAAAATCGTAATATTGTCCTTTATGCTGGCTGAGTGGAGATTTCCAAACTGGCTTAAGGTTGATGAAGGTGTACCTTGTCTTTCCAATTCTGGCTGTGACATCTTCATCCGCGCTGTCACATGTTGTTGGAACGATGGTTCCTAATTTAGTGAAGGAAGTGACGTCTTCCAAATTTCTCTCGTTGATGGTGATTGGTGCTGATTGTTGTCAATGTTGATTAGTTAGTTATCTTCATCACCTCCACCGTCTCTATGTTAACTTGAAGTCCTGTCTTCACTGCTTGTTTCTTCAGCCAGTTTGTTGGTTTTCGCCTGTAAGTCTTCGAATTTGTGTGACATTAAACCTAGGTGATGTGAGAAATCTAGATCTTCTACAGTCAGATTAACTGTCTTTTTATTGTTCTGTTGAAATTCATAAAGGGAACTGATTGTTTTATATTATGATTATGATCCATCAATATCCACGGAAGAAATTTGAAAGAGGTCACTTCCTCCACTTATCTGAGAAGCATCGTTCCAGCTACAGACAGTGGGCACAGATGCGGATATCAAAACGAAGATCGGAAAGGCAAGACAGACCTCCGTCACTCTGAATTCAGTTTAGAAATCTTCACTCAGCCAGCACAAAGAACAAAATTCGGATTTAAAAAACCCACTTTGATTCGTTTTTTTATGAGTCGGAAACATGAAGCCAATCAGAAATGTGTGACAACAAGCTTCTCTGGGAGCGAACCAATCCAGAAACTACTGCCTGACAAATATTTTGAAGGGAATGGTGATGGATCGGACACGCACTGAGGAGACCGTCAAATGACATCGCGCACCAGGCTCTTCGAGTGGAACCCGAATGAGAAGCGACGAGTGGGTCGTCGGTGCAAGGGTAACATGGAGATCGTGCGAAGAGGAGATGAAAAATTACGGGCAGTCGTGGACCCAGCTGAAGAGGGAAGCAGAAAATAGAACAAAGTGGGGATAGTGTATTTCATATTCCATATTTGAAACTTTTCCTATTGATTCCTAAGTGCTTAACGAATCTTCATTATTAATGTTTGAGATAAAGACACTAAGTGTATTTTTCACATCGACTATTTGCGATGAAACATGCAAAATAATTGTCCTCCTCATACGCTCTAGGATACCATACAGGCTTCTTGTGTTGTACTTAGTCAGCTGGCAGTGAGTATCCGTAAATACGTCATATCCCTACTCATCAAAATCTAGGGGGCCTTCACCCTAACTAATTCTCTTTAGTTAGCTTTTAGAAGAAGTCGGAAAGTCACTGTGGCGAAGATGATGGAGTTATGAAGAATAGTGTTGGATTGCCGTCTATCAGCACATCATAACTTCCAGGGAAGTGTTGAAGAGTTCATGCCACCCAATGTCGCAAGGTGTTATTAGATATTGTTCAGAATCAATAGCAATCGACAATATTCTACAATACACTTTTATCTGTGATAGGGCAGCTGAGATCCTAAAGAATCGCTTATGCAGATTACTGAGGAAAGCCTTCTGTATGGCTGAGCTACGGATCAATTTCTACAGCCGAAAAATGATCAATGGATGTGTGAAGGATAAACTGCCGCTTTGGACTGGCCACTTCAATGTGTGTTTATAAATTCACCTGCTCGTGTGGAGCTATTTATATTGGCCGCACAAAGCGCACACTTTCCAAACGCATCTCTGAACATTATCGAGCATGGTTAGCAAAAGGACAATGCAAGACTGGTGCTAGCTCAATTCTCTAGCACTTGGTAAACTCGGACCACGTAGCTCCATCAGAGTCGTCTTTCAAGATCGTCTACAAGGTGAGGCCAAATGGTACAAAGGGAGTCAGGTTTTGGCTTTTGTGTATGGTGGAGGCGCTGGCAATTCGTCAATACAACGCCGAACTCTGTACAGAGAAGAAAGTTCGTCCAGTCTATTATTCCACCTTGGTCTTAACCTCTTCACTAGTCGCTCCCTGTAAATTTTTAGTTTTTAATCTCACTTTTAGTCTGCTTTTGCTTTAGTAATTAATTCACTATTATCACTCTTACATGTTCCTTTTGTACATTTTCACACTGGTTAAATTGGCACTCAACTACCTTTATTCTCAATCAATAGCAATTTTAATCTTATCAAATTTCTAACTTTTTGTCGTTGAGTACTACGTAATTTACAACTTTTATTTGTTTACTTCCAAAGCCACTTCTGAGTAATTATATTGATTATGTCACGCCCTATTACTCAATAATAGACTATTATACGGTTTTGGTAAATACAAATACGACTGTACAGCCGCCTGTGAAGATGATTTCGTCGATAAAGAAAATTTTCTTTGCTGAATTTGTCTTTTATTTTCTTCATGACTCAATGGGTATTTTCTGTGACTTTTATCTGTTTCTGAAATTATGAATGCACACTATCA